ATGAAATTTTATTGAGTATTTTTATTTGATAAAAAAAATTTAATTATTGTTTATATAATATATTTTAATTTTTATTTAAAATTTACATTTAAAAAGTTAATAAAATTAAATTAAATTTATTAAAATAAATAAAAAGAGTAATATACTTTTTAATTATTAAATTATATAGAAAACCAAAAAAATAAAAATTTATTCTAATATCAATGTCATGTATAATAATTGTTAAAATTAAAGTCAAATTTTATTTTCTTTAAACGGTAGTTTAATGATTAAAAGTACATTAAATCCAATCTTTAATTTGTACCCGAGAAACTTTTTTTTTTTTTTGAATTTTTTTAATATGTATCTTTAAAAGCCAATTAATGTATTTTTTATTAAATTACATAAAAAAATGAAATTTGACTTTAATTTTATTAATTAAATTAAAATAGAATATAAGAATAATTTTTTATATAATTTTTACATATTATTATAGATAAATATAATTAATATCACATATTTATTTAATGATATATAATGTAATATTAAAAAATAATATAAAAAACGGTTTAAAGCCAATGGTCGTCCCTCTACTTTCATATTTTATTGGTTCTTGTCCTTCTACTAAGGATTCGTTCGTTGTCATCCCTCTACTCTACCAAAGAGCCAAACGTCGTCCCTCTACTCTTCTTTTTTGGTACATTGTCGTCCCTTCCTTGACGCCATTCATGTTGCCGTCACTGCTGACCGTTAAGTCCTAAACGGTCAGCAGTTAAACCCATTTGTTCTTCCTTTTTCTTTTCACATGTGGTGCCACCTGTGCAAAAATGGGATCACTTTGCCCCCTTGCCTCCCTGCTTACTCAGACCCCATACTTTTTCTTTTTTTTTTGGTTGCAGAGATGCCATACTTCCATTTTTTTTTTTTTTTTGTTGCCGGGATGCCAACAAAAACACCTGCGAAAAAAAGTAAGCCAAGCGGGAAAATAAGAAGAAAGGGGAAAGAAAAGGCGGCATACTTTGACTACCTTCGGCCTTAAGCAATTTCAAGGGAGGGAATTTGTCCTCCAAATCCTGCTGTAAATCGTAATTGGATGACCCATCAGTCGTCGTTCATCCCGCAGAAAGTCCAAGGCGCACGATGCTGCTCAGCTGCACCAGGAAATGGGAACGGATCGAAAACGCCGCAGCTTCTCAAGGTGGCAGTAAGCGGCTCATTGACCTGCTCAGGCTCTTCTTTCTCAGCGAGGACAGATACCCATTTCTCTCTCTCTCCTGTTTGGATGGTGAGAAAATGCAGAAAGAAAAAAGTCATAATTTTTTTTGGCGTGCTTTACATGAGTGAAATCGATATCGGTCTCACGCTCCCGGACTATTTCACCGCCTTGGTAACCGCCAATATCAGCTCAGCTTCGGCTTGGTGAGAATTGTTGATGTGCGGGAGGAAGATAAGTGGGGATGAAGCCATGAAGATGGGGATTGTGGAGGCGGCGCATGATAACCAAGATGAGGTGAGTAAGGCTAGTGTGCGCCTGGGAGAGGAGTTGAGCAAAAGGAACTGGAAAGGGAAAGTGTACGCTGAGATCAGGAAAGGACTGTATCCAGAGGTTTGTGGCATGATGGGGTTGGTTGGGAAAGCCAAGTCCTTGATATACATGATTTGGCACAAAAAAGAAATGTTCTTTTTTTTTGATTTGGCACAAAAAAGAAATGTTCTTTTTTTTTTTTTTTTTTTAAACAGTTTGTCAAAGCGGGTTCGAACCTGTAAGGGGAGGGGGAATACACCACAATATGATAAGATGTCACTTGACCGAAATGCTTGGTGTGAAAAAAAAAAAAAAAAGGAGAAATGTTCTTGGTTTGCTTTGGATATCAATGACTGATTGTCGTGGTTGGAATAATGCACAAATCACAAGTTTTAAACCCCAATCGATTTAGGGTTTTATGCAATGATAATTATGTCACAGTATACGTATTAAAAAAAAAAATATAGCAGTATATTCTAAGCATGTTTGGTTGATTTGGTTGATTTTAACAGCTTAAGATTGGTTTATGGTCTTATAGTGGTTTTTTAGCAAGCATCTCATTAAAATGTTGGTTTATTATAGTTAAATTGATTGGGGTTTATTATAGATGAGTGGTGAAAATATTTTTAATATAGTGCTCCAACTTTTAAAAATTTGGTTATTAAAATTTTCAATTAAATTTCATTATCTTCAAGTTGTAAAAAAAATTGGAGTGTTTTTGAAAAGATACACACTAAAAAAAAGAAATAAATTAGAGCATAAAAAATTAAATAATCTTATCTATGTATATTATTCAATTTATGTTTAAAAAATTAATACTTTATCTTATATTTATTTAAATTATATTTAAGACTTATTTTGTAATAAATTTAGTTTAAAATTGAGTTATCTCTTACCATCATATTTGATGAATTTATCTTATATTATGTTTTTTAATATTTATTAATTTAAAATTTAAAAATTATATTTATTTAATTAAATTTATTATTTTAAGTTACTTAAATGGTGATTCTCCCGCTCGGTTTACTTTTTTTCACAGGTGTTTTTGTTGGCATCCTAGCAACCAAAAAAAAAAATTGAAAGTATGGCATCTTTGCAGCCAAAAAAAAAAAAAAAGAAAAGTATGGGGTTTGAGCAAGCAGGGAGGCAAAGTGGGCAAAGTGGTCCCCACTTTTACACAGGTGGCAGCATATGTGGAAAAAAAATATAACAAATGGGTTTAACTGTTGACCGGTTAGACTTAACGGTTAGCAGTGACGGTAACATGAACAACGTCAGGAAAGGGACGGCAATAAACCAAAAAAGAGGAGTAGAGGGACGACGTTTGGCTCTTTGGTAGAGTAGAGGGACGACAACGAACAAAGCCTTAGTAGAGGGACAAGAACGAATAAAATATGAAAGTAGAGGGACGACCATTGGCTTTAAACCTATAAAAAACTATTTCTAACCTATTTTTTAAAAATTAATATTATTTTTTTATTTTATAATATAAATTAATAATTAAGATATATTAATTACATATTAGCATGTAAGGACACATATAAGAAAATTCCATTTTATTTTTAAAAAGATATTACTGTACTAATTAATTTCATTTCCATATTCCAATTCCGATAAGAAAAAGCTAAAAAGCTCTCTCCTGTTTCATATTGCTTTCTATTCTCCGCATACCAACGCACAAAGACTGACAATGGCGACCCTCAAAGTGCCGGCCAACGTTCCTTCTCCCGCCGAGGATGCCGAGCAACTCCACAAAGCTTTTCAAGGTCTTCAACAACTTTAACAATTCAGATTCATCCTTCTTTTTTCCTGTTCGATCCGTTAACTGATACTTCTGATCTTGATTTCTTCCTGCTGATTAAGCAGATAATATGTCAATTATATTGTATCATTGATCGCATTTGATTGATCTGATTATTACTGGATTGAAGTTGCATGTTGCATCGGCATTTTGATTCTGATCTCTGGAAGTCCATCATTTCTGGCTTCAGCGTTTTCGGTCTGTTAGTTCAGCATTGTGCCTGTAATTTGATCTGATCGCGTAGTTAAACGGTGCTGGTGTTTTGGATTGATTCTTAAAGAGATATCAGTGTTCAAATAGTTCTACATTTTCTAAAATTTTGTAGTTTGGATCATCTTTGATGTCATCCTGCTCGATCATTGAAGTGTTTGTAATTCTGTCACTGATCTGAACGATTGGACATCTCAATTGCTCTGTAAGCCGTTACTGCAATTGATGGTGTGAGATCCATTTTAGGATTCTCCAGTGTCTGGAGCATAATCTGTTGCAAAATCGTTATTTTCTAAGAAGCTAAAAAATGAAATGGTACTTGGAATTTAAATGGTACTTGGAATTTTTATTGATAAAACCTCATTTCTTAATTGGCAATTGAGGCATCATGTTGCTAGGTTACATGGATCATGCAATCAAATCACGTGTAATCTTTGTCTGAAAATTAAAATTAAAGTTTTATCACACATTCTTAGTTTTGTTTCTATGTTTTGAGGAAAAAAAGTTATAACCATGAACTACAATCTATTTACAGGATGGGGCACGAATGAGGGATTGATTATCTCCATATTGGCTCATAGGAATGCAGCACAGCGGAATTTGATTCGACAAATTTATGCTGAAACCTATGGAGAAGACCTCCTTAAGGCTTTGGACAAAGAACTCTCTAGTGACTTTGAGGTCAGATTCTGACTTGTCTTTTTCTCATTGGCATGTCAGTGTTTACAAATCCAAGTAGTACAGAGGACTAATTGCTGCATTACTTTTGTACCAGTCAAGGATTTTTGTTTACTCGCCATTCTCTTTCGGGCTCACTTGAGATTCATAGGATGGAAATGATGAAGTGATTCTTTTTTCCATTTTGCTTATATGTTACTTAAACAGAGGGCTGTGCTGCTCTGGACGCTGGACGCTGCAGAGCGTGATGCTTTTTTGGCTAATGAAGCTACAAAGAGGTTCACATCAAGCAATTGGGTCATAATGGAAATAGCTTGCACTAGGTCTTCATTTGACCTATTTAAGGTGAGGCAGGCATATCATGCCCGTTTTAAGAAGTCCCTAGAGGAGGATGTTGCATACCATAGTACTGGAGACTACCGCAAGGTACAGTCTTGAACCTCCTAGTTATATGTGCTTTAATTAGTTTTTTTCCTCTCCTTTCCTTCAGTAAAATATATACTTACAGCATAATCTGATATTACTTTTTGAAGTATCTTTTTGACAAACTGAGTAAAAGAACATATGAATAAAAAAATCTAGATAATTTATTATAGATCTCATCAAATTATGGTTCTTTGATCAGAGTTTCTACTCATGAAAAGCTTGTTAAGATGGCACCATTGGCTTACAACTGGCAGTGAACAAAAAGAAGGAAATTTTGAAATTGGTAAATCTTGTGGAGTTAATTACTTTGCATGAATTTTGATCCTTGTAGCTCTTGGTTCCTCTTGTGAGTGCATTCCGATATGAGGGAGATGAGGTGAACATGATGTTAGCAAAATCGGAGGCAAAGATACTTCATGAGAAGATCTCAGATAAGGCGTACAATGATGAAGAGATCATCAGGATTATCTCTACAAGGAGTAAGGCACAGCTAAATGCAACCCTCAATCACTACAATAATGCATTTGGCAATGCTATCAACAAGGTATGAAATTATGCCATGAATTTCTCATTATTTAGCAGTTTCCTTACCAAGAAAGAGAATACTTGCTGTTCATCCTAGGTCTTTTGACCACTTAAGGGCATTTGCAACAGTTAAAGAAGTTTAAAAAATGATCCTTATATAATTTCTTCATTAAGCTTTAGGATGAAAGTTTGAAATATATGTGCACAGTCAATGTGTGGCAAATTTGTTTACTTTAGTAGAATAATGCATACTTTATATGTAAATGTGTCATCAATCCTCTTTGGAAATCATGGGAGGGCTTTAATGGGTATAGGGTTGTCCAGTGGCCTTTTAAATTTGAGAAACTACGGTAACTCAATGAGTTGAGGCTCAAAGTTACCATTTTAGTAAACAGTCACAGTTCATGGTCACTGGAGGACTTAACAGCCTATACATTTTTTGGCCAGAAACATATATGCATAGACATACTGAATAATATTCAAACTGACAATCAGATACTGGCTTTCAGGATTTGAAAGCAGATCCCAATGATGAATTCCTCAAATTATTAAGAGCTACCATCAAATGCTTGACTTGTCCTGAGAAATATTTTGAGAAGGTTTTGCGCCAGGCCATCAACAAGCTGGGGACAGATGAATGGGCTCTTACCAGAGTTGTCACAAGTCGGGCAGAGGTGGACATGCAACGTATTAAGGAAGAGTATCACCAAAGAAACAGTGTCCCTCTGGAACGTGCAATTGCTGGAGACACTTCTGGAGACTATGAGAAAATGCTTCTTGCCTTGATTGGACATGGAGATGCTTGAGCTGTTTTCTGGACTAGTAATAATAACATGACTATATGGTTTGTGTCATGTGATATGAGTCACAAGTGCTTGAATTTGTATTTTGTCTTGGTTATGCAGACTGGCTTTATGTATTTTGCTGCTTCTGTGGAGAACTTTCAAGGTCCATGCTTCATGTTATGGATTTTACTTGGTGTTCTTGGTTCCGTAAACCCAGCTTCTGTGTTCTGGTTTCAAGATGCACATTTCTGGGATGTGATGAATTTTAGCATTTTGCTTCGTTTCAGTCCTCTTTTTAACAAATGAAGTTATTAGTACAGAGTACTAGTAGGGGGAACACGTTGAGAGGATTTGGATTCACAATGGACTATCTCCTATTATGCAATTCTCATTCAGGCGCCATTTTTTCCTCTTAAAAAAATGAACCCTGGAATTTGGTCAAGAGGCAGATACTGTACAAGGTTTTTTTTTTAAAGATCTTCTGTAAAAATAAAATCCGCTTACAGCTTTTCTAAAAGCTGGTTTTTTAGCTTTTAAGGAGTGAAAAGCTAAAGCTACAGGTTTGTAGCTTTTTTTTTTTCTTGGGCCATCTATGGGTTTGTAGCATTCAACATTACAATTGAGTTTTTAGAAAAGTGTATTAGTTCATATTGTAAAAAATTATGTAGAAAAATAATTTAAAATTATGTTTGTTTAACAAAATTATATTAAAAGATTAAAATATTTAAAATTTTAAAGTAGATATGAGGTTGTTTTATTTTGTTTTCGTAATATTTTATTAAAATGACATAATTTTAAGTATTTTAAGTTCTACAAAAAATTTTAAGATTTTAAAAATATTATATAAATTAATAATTTAGTTAGTAAGTACCAAAATAATAATGATAAGAATAATGATTTAGCATTCTCTCTATGAAAACCCTACCCAAACAACCCTTTATGCAAAAGTTACTCAAAGGGCAAACAGACCATGGAATGGGATTTGATGTCAGAGTCATGAATGGACCAACTCTATAAAAAGGAGAAGAGTTGTAAGGATTGCTACATGACATGAATCATGAATGGACCAGCTCTATAAAAAGAAGAGGAGATGTCTTCGGATAAGGGTGACGATTTTCAGGCCAAAAAACCAAAAAGGTAAAGATTCTTTCTTTTACGTTAGTCTGGCATGGAATGCCCCAACAAGGCAACAATCTTTTTCTCAGATCTTTTATTATCTTTTTCATGGCTATTTCGCTATCAATTATCAAATTATTTTAAAAACTTATTTAAAAAAATTAAAAATATCTATTCCTTGAAGCAAAAGTTTGTTGTGCAATTCAATATAATTTAAATTGTATAACCATAATTATTAAATGGGAGGTGAACCTCAAATATTAACAATTCTCATCATTTAATAATTTTTATTTTACAATGTAATCTATTCTGAGTTGTAAAACAGAAATTTATTTTTTAAAATTATAATTTTCTTTTAAATTAGAGGGACACTTTTTCTTTAAAAGTTTTTTTTTTTAACTTATATCATAA